CCTCTCTGCACCAAGAAGGTGAAAACAGAGAAGTGTGAGTAGTAAAACAACCAGATTAGCCAACGCGATGACTGACACACAGAGAATGAGAAATAATGACAACACTGGGTAACTCAGTTAAGCCTAAAGTTCAGCTTTAAAGACGGTACAACGGTGGACCTCAGGATTATACGATGCAGCACAACTAAGCCTGGTAGACACTTCTGGAGAGCACAAGGAAAGGGTTCATATACTGGCACTATAACATGGTGCAACTGGAACCAACACCCCTTTCTACAGCTCTGTTAACAACAGACAAACAATGTCGTACTACCTTCTACAGGATCATCTGTGGGAGGAGAGAAACAAAACTTAGGTATTTATATATATAACTGAAATTGAGTTTTATTAACTGGCAAAGCCAGTATTTTGACTACTATACAGATAGCTGAAATTGAGCGCAGGCAGTTGGTTCAGCAAACGACTGTATCCCTTAAATTCGCCACTCAAGAAGTAAGTTATGGTGGTATGGTGTTCGTCCTGATACACTGGCCTATCTTCTACTGCCCTACTTGAGTATGACTTAATATGGACTTAAGTAACCCTATGTAAAAATTTCCAACAGAATGTAACAAGCTAAAGGTCAACCTGGTGGCCTATTAATCAAAATGATAATTAGAAATTGATGAAGAAGTGTTGGCCTTCTATATCCCAAGCCAGGCACTTCAATTTTTTGCCAATTTTCCGCTTGACTTCAAGTGCCACATTTGACGGCCATTAATTTGTTAGAGTGAGATGTTTAGGGGCAGGGGTTTGTTTACGAGATCTCCAAGGCCACTTTACATTACGTTTTGAATTATTCGTGGTGTCATTTTTAGTCTCGGCGTATTTATTTACCATGAAAAAATAATGTCTAACATAGATCTCGAGTGGCGAACGTCTGTCAAGTTTTCTGTAGTAATTCTATGAATTGAGAATGAAATGAATTAGAAAATGTATTCCACTTGTCAAAATGTTGAATGAAGATTTTTTCCGCTCGAAAGATGATTTGACAAGGCAAACTATATTAGTGTTCTTAATTAGATTGAAGGGACATTGGTATAAGTGCGATGTATCGAACAGCTTGTCAAATTAACTTAAGTAAAATTGATCAGAGGAATAGAACGGTACGAATTGACCCGATGTACGAACAGTCTTAAGTGAAAGAAAGTAGCGTAGATTATATCGAACAGATGACAAATTAGATTTAGTCTATCTTACACTTATTGAGTTGGTTAGGGTTAAGCAATTACATTACTATCAATAAAAACTCTGGTAAGGTGAGACTATCTCATTTCTTTCTGAAAATTAGATCGGACATAATCTGTCGAATGCACTTAGATATAATACTGATCTTCTTATAGCTCGTTTAAACCTTTAAACTAATTTTTAAACTTTTAAAAATATTTGAAGTGCAAATTTATTCCGCCAATGCAACTGCATCCACCAAACGTTCTCAGATCTAAGAAATCGTGTAAATTTTATCGATTTTCAGATTGATGAAAATTATTTTCAACTTGTATAAATTGCCAGAAGTAGAAAGTGATAACTTTTTGTCTTGATAACTCTTTTAGCTTATCCTGATCCTTTGTCAACCGTGTGGTATATTCAATGTTTCTTTGTTATTGTAGAACTGTCGGCAATCACATGACCGAAAACTCATGTTCAAACCTTTACCAAAATTTCCAGGGCATCCAGGAAATCAGTCACAATAAGTTTGACTCGAATGGAAACGAATAGTAAACGTAATTGATAACATTTTCAACTTGAGTCGGTGCTATTGTAGGAAATTATAACGTTACTTTTTTCCTTCGACTTCGTAGCATTGTTACAGGTTGTAGTGATGCTTTTTATTTTCTCCATGTAATAAAATAAAACTCACGGCTTAAGTCACAGAATACCATGCTTTTCAAAATTTATAACTGATGTAGTCAAAAAGAGTCAAAAACCAATTAAAAGTTTTATAAAACCACTTCCATTTTCAGTATTTGTAAATTTGATACTTCTATTTTTAATAGGAAGCGCACAAATTATAAATATACTGACTACGGTATACATTCTATAATAAGATAATTCCAATTAGGTTTTTAACGTCTTGTTTGCTGTGAAATAAACAATATTTGCCAAAATAATAATAACAGTCTAATTATGTATTATGTAGATTTTATAAGATACAGAATAATTCATGTGAAATATGACGAAATAAGAGTTGGCACGGGACATGTATTTTGATAATTTGTTATATCATTCAGATGAACAGTTTCCAACTTCTTCCTTGATGCTAATTAGCCATAGAGATTCAATGAGTGATAGAAATAGTAAAGGAATTCAGTTGTCTAATTATTCAGATTACCAGTAGATATAGCTTAATATAATATTAGCTATCCGTAATACTTTTAAAGTTTATAATTTAAGATTCTGACTCACTAAATTTTAACTTCTTATGTCATCTCATTCATGCTACATATCATATCATACTATGTTATATATCATATCATACTGTGTTATATATCATATCATACTGTGTTATATATCATATAATACTATGTTATATATCATATAATACTATGTTATATATCATATAATACTATGTTATATATCATCTCATTCATGCTACATATCATATCATACTATGTTATATATCATATAATACTATGTTGTATATCATATCATACTATGTTATATATCATATAATACTATGTTATATATCATATCATACTATGTTATATATCATATAATACTATGTTATATATCATATAATACTATGTTATATATCATATCATAGTATGTTATATATCATATAATACTATGTTACATATCATATCATACTATGT